TTCATACAGGGCGGTGCGTTAAGTACACGTTTGCCCTGGATATTCGGGTCAACATCCATCTTGTCTCTGGCATGCCTCGTCGCCGCTATCTGGTGTATTCCTTCTCTCCCCAATGAATCATTGTCTTTGAAGGACTTTGACTACATCGGAGCTGCAGCAGCAATTCTTGGATGCGGATTGCTCATCTTTGGTCTCACTCAAGGATCGCCTGCGCAGTGGACTCCATACACTTACACCCTTGTCATCATCGGAGTTGCCTGTTTAGCCAGCTTCGGTCTCATTGAGAGCCGCGTACGGCGGCCGCTGATCGACAATCGCCTTTGGAAGACTCCTGGATTCTTTCCTTTGATCTCGTCCTATTTCCTGGGATACGGTGCTTATGCCGGAGCCTGGCAATTCTATGCGGTGCGCTTTCTGCTTACCATCCAGCAAAAGCCACCCATCATTGTCGCATGTTATCTTCTCCCTATCGGTGTAAGCGGAACCCTTGCGTCGTGGATTGTATCCAGGACGCTTCATATAATACCGGGACACGTTATCATGATGGGAAGTATGCTTGCATTTGCCACAGGCCCTGCTTTCTTCTTACCTCAACAAGCGGGTACACTTTATTGGGCGCTCTCATTTCCCTGCTTCATCGTAAGCACATTTGGGCCGGATATGTCGTTCGCAGCTGTCTCCGTGTTCATCACGTCGAACGTGCCCAGATCGTACCAAGGTGCTGCAGGAAGCTTGGTCATCACTGCGCAAAACCTGTCCACCGCTGTACTCGCGGCATTGGGAGACACTATTGGGGAAAAGATCACAGGGCAGCCGGGGGGTTCCCTAGACTTAATGGCCCTGCGTTCCATCTGGTGGCTGAGCCTGGCGACCGCTCTGACAGGCGCTTTGATATGTGGTTTCTTCGTCAGAATACCAAGGAGTGAAGAGAAGGAGCATATCAGCTGAATGTATGCACAGGAATATGAAGGATTCTTGGGTATTACTGGTCATAAAACATTTATTATGTTCATCAACACCTCGATGGTGTATTTCAATTGATATAGCCTCATGCTCGTTACCTAACCACGCTTATTCAAATGCTGGCCTACCTTCTGGTGGCACTGGGGTATCATCAAGCTGTCTTCTAAATCTCTGCATCTCCAGGATTCTACACCGTCTCGCTGGACTTCTGTGATTGCGTAGTGGTTGAGCAAGCCGCAACATGCTCAAGGTCGACATTGAGGTCGTACGCTGGCTCGCTGACGACATCAAATCTGCTCATGCGTGTTATTTGCAGCGTCTTGACGGTTGATTTGTAGTTGTAAGCGTTAGACTTGTCCGAATAGCCAGCGTTTCGGTTCGATCGGAAGTATGGTCTTAAGCATGGTAATGTCGCGACTAAAAGACCAATATTGACGTCTAGCTCGCTCCAAAGTTCTGCGACTCAGCCGTCAGCACACGTATCAAAGAGCCTATAGAGACATGCAGCATGTTCAAATACTCACCAACCAAACCGAAAGGCAAGGCCTCGACCGATGCTGTCTGAATCGTAATGAAGCGAACGAGAGAGAAGGTCATGTTGATGATGCCGAGACCAAAGGTACAATAAACGCCGATTTTGAGGGCTCTTTTGATCTTCAAATCAGGTAAGATGAGCCAAGGAAGGCAGAAAACTTTGTAGAAAGTCAGGAAATCTTTGAGCTGAAATACCAGGGTCTCTGTTTACTTACTCAGAATATCCCCGAAGAAATGCAATGCCCAACCGACTTGGAACACAATTGCGGGAGACGAAGCCGAGCACATAACATTTTCTGTTCCTACGACCCGATCTTCGACAGACCTGACCGAGAGCTGAAGTCAGTTTCAATGCCTGAAAACGGGATTTCTCTCTGTCGGATTAACTGACCAGTTCTTACTAAGGGGCAGGCAAATAGTGAAAAGCAAAATCATGCTGACCAAGTACGCCAGCCCAACGTATATTATAGCAGTCCATAACATCATTCGTCGATAGTACATAAAAATGGGGAATATCTGAATGTAGACGGCGAGAAGGGCTCCTTTGCAGAGGTAAAATGTTGTGAAGAATGGTATGCTGCTAGCCCAAAACAACTTTCAGGCACGGAGTGTCAGTACAACTGAATTGATCATGAAAAAGGTGTTCTTTCTTACCCTCATAATTAGCATAACTTCGTCGTCGTTTCCGTCGAATCCATCGAGATTGATTTTGATATTTTGATGCAAAGCGCCCATGACTGTGAACTGTATATCGAATGAGGCAGTTACAACTGCAGAGCACCATGCTAGGCATAGGAAGTAATCGCTAATTTGTAATTTCCTCCCTTGGATGTTGATTCGGAGATGAAGAGAAGCAGCTAGTACTGCGCCGGCGGTCAAGATGGTGACCCATCCCGTCGTCTAAGTTCGTGCCAGAAAGGTCAGCGATCATGTTCCGATTTCCAAGGTCCCGACATTCAGAATCTGAGATCTGACATACAATGATTGTTACCGCCTTTGGGGTCGGAAAGTGAGCCATTATCCATCGTCACATCTTCACACACGTTGTTGAGCCCCGTCAAGAAAGTGGGCGTCTGGAATTATAAAAGAGGATGGAAAAAGAGCTGAATTCCTGCGTGGGCTAGTTGAGACAGACTGACTCCTAGCGTGAGATGAGAACCATACTAGCCCTGGTTCCGTTATCCGATTTCGAACTAAACATACGTACGATACCGAATTCATCGTCCGGATTCGGAAGTGTTCCAACTTTATCCTTGAAAGTCACGCCCATCGGCCGACCCTAGATCCTCTTGCACATGCGTGAAAGCGCTGCAAGAACACAAGTACAGCAAGGCAGGCGTCCTCCAAAGGGATGCATAACGATGTGGACATGGCTTGCATGAACTCATTGTGAAGATAATGCCGATGCCAACCATTATAGAGAGAACATCAATTGAATCGAAGTGGACCATTCAAGCGGGTTCTGCATATTCATTGCATCAGGGGTCTGAGATGAGTGTCTTGGTCGGCTGACATGCTGTTTCCCCTGCAACGTGGAGTATTGTCTTGGATGCAAAAGATCACCCGTGTCACCGCCTGATTCAAGATTTGACACCCCGCTCGCCAAATTCATTCTTAGATTCAAAGAGCGCCGGTAAAGTATATCATCGGATGCCTCTCATTTGCGGCCCTTCCTCGATCGGGATCGAGTTCGGGAAGCCGAAAAGACAACGGCCCGCGGAATTCTTCAAATAAAACACAAGATGCGTTGAGCCCTTACGAGCCTTAGTTTGGTGCCGCTATGAGCCTATCTACAGGTAGTAAAGGAAACAGAACAGCCAAACTCCGCGCATACGTTTCGCGCACTCCGTTTCGTCCGTACCCGTGCAGCCGATTTGACGGGCCGGAACGGTGCCCATGGAACCAGTCTGTGCGATCCGCGCCACATCGCAGCACATGAGTACGTAGACTGAGCCGCTTTATCCTGATCACTCACGCTACCATTGGGCTGCAGTCCTAATCTATTTAGACTAGTAACCGCGCCGAGACCAATGTGGTGAACTAGACCCGGGGCAGCACGTGGAATAATCAGGTTGTTTACAGGCTTCGGCCTTTCGAAACGGGAACTAGCTTCTGGGAGATCCCGAAGAGTGGGACACTCGCTGCGTAACCGTTCTAGACCAGCACTTTCCGATGTTTTGATAAGTACGGACGTATGAGCTTTCCCCATCAGATAGCAATCATTGGGCAAGAGACTTAAAGGTACGTTTCAAGAGCACGCCATTATACAGTCAACACAGTATTCTAGACAGATTCTTTCGCTTTGACGACACGCTAATCGATTAGAATTCCAACAATGACCCTTCTAGATGCATTTTTAACATTTCCGTCGAGTCAATTGAAGACTTCACGGAGAGAAACGCGTAGAAATATTGAGCCTGCTGAGATGAATCTACTTAGGTAGATACCTTATTCAATGATCTTCGCGGCTCGCCAGAGACATATAGGTCACAAGTCAAATCGCCTTCACCCATTCCGAGGTTAGATTTTGAGAGCTGATGTTGACTTCTCTAATATTCATCCATAATTTTCCATGTATCAAACCTCGGTACCCAGAGAACAATCTGCTTCTGAAGGGACCCCGGTGTCCGGGCCGCATGTTCACTCGGGGCCTCCGCCGAGACGGCCCCACTTCGCCGCGTTTCCGAAACCATCGAATCCGGGCATGGGTGAGACAAGGCGAGTAAGGGTGGCGGAAATCGAAGACACAGGAAACGTTTCTGTACGAATCATCTAACGTAAGCTCGGTTTGCCCGCACCACTTTGTGCTCGCCTTTGACGAAAACGGCCTGCCGCGATCCGACAATTCGAACTTACGGTTGGCCCTTCCCCCACGCCCTTCCGGCACCCGGTAACAGTTGCTCATCTAGCCATCGACCCTGCACTATACCTAGATAATATGATGTGTCTCTCTTTCTTCCGGCGCAGAGCAACCATGGGGGTTTTCAGACTCCTGTTCCAAAACGGTACCTAGCCTCGGCGACCTCGGCGAGGTGTGGCGCATCTTCGCCGGTCGAAACTGACTGGCTGGGAAACAAACACTGTTCAAGAAAGAAGACATAAGATGACGTGCTCTGGTCATAGAAGAAATGGAAAGATCATTGGAGTGGCTTGAAAAGTTCCAAACCTGTTGTAAAACAACCATAGCGGACTGGGCCTGTTCACATATCGCTCTGACAAGTTTCATGTCTGCTCGAATTTGTCCCTGCGCTGTCGGATTCAATGAGCAGAAGTCACGACGTCACTTTTTCAAAGCTTCGCAGGAAAGATGGAGTAGTCATTTATTAACATCACGAAATGCTAAACTATTTGGTTAGGTAAGACGATGAGATTATAATTCTTGCTCTTCCTGCCATCCCACCGCAGTATTTACCACAAAGTCTTAGTTCATAAGTTCAACCGAGGGCTCCAGCTTGCGTCCAAAAAGGATCTATCGTTCAATTTTGCCATGACCAATTGGTCTTCTAGACGGCTCTCCATCGGCTCGAAGCCGATATATCGCGAACCGGACCTTGTTCCTCGTAAGTAACGCTCACGAAGTCGGTCCGAATAATCTTTCCGTCAGAGGGACGCTGACTTGAGTCACTTTGTCTGGATGTGAGAGTTGGGGCATTTGAAGAAGCTGATATGCCCTGGTTCGAGTCGTTTGCTGGCGTAAGGATATTCTCCTGGCTGTCGCCCTCGACAATGGTGAGACCAAGTTCATCTTTGGGTTTGACTTTTGGCTTGCGCTGTCCCAGCTCAATACCTCCTCCTCCCCGAGATTTTGACTTGCTCTGAGAGCCGTAGTCCTCATAATATTGTGGCGTTTGTTTGGACCCCTTAGACGAGCTGAAGGGGTTGCGCCGAAGAATGAGCTCAAGAAGCGGCTGCATGACAGGTATTGAGCTTGCGATAATGATGGTGCTGCCCTCGACACTACCGGAATCCAATTTCAGTAAGGTGTTTCTTCCCGTGAGCCTCCTGAAGCTGATTGTACGTTGTAAAGAAGGGGCTAGACTTACACTGTCCAGATCACCAGATCAGAGGTATCGTCTATGCGGAAAAGATCAGTAAGATCTATTAACTTATTCAACAGGAAATACGGGACCCTACATGAGAAATCCTTGCTCGCAAGGGACGGGATGCGAGTCGTCTTGTAAATAGCAACGATACCAGATCTTCAAGTTATTAGTTGTATGAATCATGTTTTGAAGCTGCAAACTGGCCGAAAGAAAGAAGATTCTTACATTGACCCGATGCCTAGCGCACAAGAAAGCGCAATTTTCTTTTTTGTGGCCATCTGAAGGCGGAATAGTACAATTGCCGGGTAAACAGCGAGGTATACATCGACAAAGGCCGAGAAAGCTGTGTCGTAGGACAGTATTAGCAAAACTCAAGAACCTTTCTAAGTACTTATGGAAAAGGGTTGCCTCACATCCCGCATAAATGCAATAGGCCACCAGAATATTGACATCAAAGCAGGTGCCCTTGACAGAAAAGTCCCACAAGGACCTGGCCGGCATGCAACGTCCAAGTAGGAGACCAGCCGTGACGAACAGCGTCAACTGGCACCAAATCCCCAGCCACCATAAAAACCACTTATGATATCTGTCAGGGTTCATCAGTCGAACCAACAAGGAGACAACAGCTAGTTTGGGGAGACCGAAGGACATGATACCAGGGCAGAAAGCTGCCGTAGTCCAGAGAATGGCTCCCTGCTGCTGCTCGGTCGATAGTAGGGACATGTGCCTTCCGTTTCCGTAGGTGACTGCGATCGTAGACAAAGCCGTTGAGATGTAACCGCAGAACTGGGAAAATTCTTAAATTAGACTGAGTTGCTGACGCGAAAGAGGCAAGCGAAGAGAGTGTAATTCGTGACAGGAACTCCACAGACAACCATAGACACGTACCAATCCTAAGATGATGAACCAATCATCGCTCTGGAACTTCTTCATTATCTTCCCCCTCACGTAGACACGACCGAAGACGAAGCAAGTGCTGATGGCCGTGACAATCCAGCAGACGATAACGATGATTGGCCCTTTGTCCTGGGCCTTCCACTCATCTGATCCCTCCGCTGGCGAAGCCGACATGTTGGATTTGTAGTAAGCAACGAATGGGAATATATCGATCACGAGAAATGTGACACAGGAGACAAGAGCTGATCTAGGCGCAACCAAGACTCTGTTGAATAAATGCAAAGCAGACTGCGGCATAATGCCTTGCAGAGCGATTCTTCAGCATCGACCAAGAAATTGGCCGAAGACGTGCAGATCTTGCGCAACCTGGGATTCTTACCAGGTATTGGGGTGCTCGGGGTGATCAGGTGTCGTGTCGTTAGGTAGCTGGAGACGGAGCAATCTCCTATTCGACCTTTCCTTCGGAAGAAAAGAAAAAGCCAGCTTGCAACTCAAGGGTCTTGCTCAAAGTTTCATGTAGCATTGCCGGTTTTGCAATCATTCCATATCTCGCCCCTGAAGATCTGGATTCCATTGACAAAAAGAGCATCGGCTGAGGGGTAAAACTGCGAGACCATGGGCACATAAAGTCCAAGGATGTATCAAACCCTGCACCAACAAGCAAACATGTCAGGGGATATACGGCGTACGTGCAGAATGAAGAATCAACTTGGAAATCTTGAGTCGCTTGGGTACTTGTGAATACGGCGTGATATGGTCGACGTGAGCCGCGGCGCGCGGCCCGCAGCCCATTGACCCTTTTGGAAAGGAGATCGCAGTTCTCATCACGTTGGAAGTAGTCGTCTTGGCGGCTCCTTTAGTTCAGGTGGAACTTTAAAATCGGCGGATGCAGGAGCAACATGGGGTGTTTGATGGCGTGGAACGGCTCCCGTTATGTAAAGACCCTGGTTGAGCACCAACAGCCAAGTGTCGAGAATCACACCTCGTCGAATGGAGGACAAAAGCACTCGCCGCTAATGTATCTTCGGCCCTCGATTTATCTCAACCATACGGATACCGCCACGAGAATAGATGATAGCAATAATGTGTTGAGACAAAACTCAGACCAAAAGAGCTATGCAGTAGCGCTTGTAGTGAAAAAAAAATCTCTTAGGGGACATTCAACGGGATTCGCTTTCTTGAGAGACTGTGACGGGGACCTAGAGTTCTTTCATGCTTCAAAGGCAGATGTGGGCCGAGATATGATGAACGGATGAAGCAAACGGCCGTTGGACGGGGCGATCAGCATGGACTTGATGAAATTGGCTTTCTATTCGCATAGATACTAGGGTGTTGGTCTTCTGTATGGTTGGCTTCCAACGAATTTCATGTTGGCGCAAACCAACAAACATTTGCCCAGAGCATACCTAGTCCGGAAGACTCCTCCTGTTGGGCCCGGCGACCCGGGGCCCCGGTCCTCCCAGGCCAGGGTACTTTGTGAGCGGTTCGGCCTCTTGCGAGTTTCCGGTGTAAGACTTCTTCAGCATACGTATCAGTGACAAGGAATTTGGCGAGCACGCAGGAGTGAAACCTCGTCTGGCTGCGCAAAGTGGCTCGAATGCGAACGGCACGGTTGGTGGAGGATTCGAGCAATCGAGACTCGACAGGTGTTTTCTGAGTCCTGCAGTTTGACGGATAGGCGCCCTTTCCTCCACCTCTCTTTCCTACTGATATTCTTGAGGATTCTATCTCTTATCGTAAGTGTGCGTAGTTGTCGGACAGAAGGTTGCAGGGTGTGGGGGATGTCTGCGCGTCGTCTCCCCTGACTTCTGCCAAGATCCGATTTCGCTGAAATGACTGAGGCAGATATAAAGCACACGTCTTGCAAACTCTATGCCTGACTACCCCCGAGTTCTCACTCATCTGTCATTCATTTCACTGTGATACATCACTCAAATTTATAATGTCTTCCACAAACGGCTCGAACGGCACCAAAGGAGCCTCCTTTGTTGATGCAGCAATCGCCACTCGTCCGAACGACTTGGAAGCGGTTCCTCGTCTGCTCAAGGATCTCAACGAAAACATTGGCTCTTTGTCTGCTGATGACCACCATGCGCGTCACGAGCTGCTCCTTAAGGCTCGGTCTATCGTACAAGCTCTCGAGGCTCCAAGAGAGACCATGATCAAGCACTGCTGGGCACAGGTAAGCCCCAGGTGGTCAGCTGATATACATGTTACTTGATATGACTGACTTTCATCAAAGACCGGTGCAATTGCTGGTATCAACTTTGGCGTAGATACGGGTCTGTGGAAGCTCATGGCCAAGAACGGCGACAGGCCACAGACGGTGAAGGAGCTTGCTGAAGCTCTCGGCGTCGACCCGGCCCTGCTCAGTTAGTGAGCTCCCTTCTTATACTACTCACATGGCTCATAATTTCTACAGGCCGCCTCATGCGCCATCTTGGTGCCATGGGCTATATCAAGGAGACGAGCCTTGATGAGTACCAACCTACCAACTTCTCAAAGTCATTGAGCCTCCCCATGATTGGAGATGGGTATATCGCGATGTAAGTCGAACTATTTAGCTCGCTATTGGGCTCCTTGCCCTCGCATACTTCGTTGCTCTATTGCATTGTATCAATGCCTTTGCTAACTTCTTGGAAACCCAAGGACATCTTGCACTGGCGCTGGGCCCTTGAGATTCCACGAGTACTCTCGCAAGAGGGGCTTCAAGAACCCCACTGATGCCAAGGACACACCTATGATGTACGCATACAACACTGACAAGGATATGTTTGCGTGGCAGCAGGACCTTGGATGTAAGTACAATTACCAACATACTTTGGTGACAGATGGGCACTGACATGCAATCTACATAGACGGTACTCACTTCAACCACCACATGTCCGGCTACCGCCAGGGTCGTAATCCTTGGATGGCCCCCGGCTTTTTCCCCGTGAAGGAGAGGCTTATCGAGGGCGCTAGCACGGACGCCGACGCGCCCTTCTTGGTGGACATTGGCGGCAGCATCGGTCACGACTTGGCTGAGTTCCACTCGTACTTCCCTGAGGCGCCAGGCAAGCTGATCCTGCAGGATCTTCCAGTCGTTATTGGCCAGATCCAAGAGCTCACGCCAGCAATCATGCCAATGGGCCATGACTTTCTGACAGAGCAGCCCGTGAAGGGAGCTCGCGCCTACTACATGCACTCATGTCTGCATGACTGGCCGGATAACGTCTGTGAGACTATCCTGAAGCAGATCAAGGCTGCTATGAAGCCTGGGTACAGCAAGTTGTTGATCAATGAGAACGTCATTCCCTCAACAGGAGCATGGTGGGAGACGTCGGCTCTTGACATGGTCATGCTAACGCTTTTTTGCTCAAAGGAGCGTACTGAGGGTGACTGGTACCACTTGTTGGAGATCATCGCAGGACTGAAGATTGTCAAGATTTGGGGTGGTGGCAAAGGTGTTGAGAGTCTGATCGAGGTTGAGCTTCCCTAAACCTCCTAGATTTTCTACCTATTGTACTTGTACGTCGTGGTTGTCATTTATATTGATGAAGACGAAGTACAGAATCGTGCATCAAGTGCTAGAGTCACCTATTCTTTAGAACCACTTCGAACCTTTGGCAGACTCAGAGCTTCCCGTTCACATTTGTCCTAGTGACCTTGTCAATGGCCTGTGCTGCGCGCTTCACATTCTCCTCGCTCAAGCCAGCAAGATTGATCCTTCCGGACCCTGGGAGATGAACATGATACGCCTCAACTAGCTCCCTGCACTGAGATGGTGACAGCACCAGGCACCTATACACAAGATTAGCGATGTAACCATCCACCGTTAAGAACACAGCACTACTGACGAGAACAGTCCCTTTTCCTTCACCAGATATGACCAATTTCCGGGTGTCTACTTGAAGTCAATCCTGGCACGTATATCTGCTTTCGGAGCAAAGTACCTTGAGACGTATCGCAAGCTCATCATACAGAGCTTGGCGGTTTCTCTTCAGACGTTTCCTCATGCCATCGGTCTCTGAAGTCCTAAAGCATGTTGTTAGCGGATGAAAAATAGGGACTTCTCGAACACCGACTTACCACTCTTTTCGCAAGTCGGCATCGTTGAGTACGATCTTGACAAGACGGCTACCGTAGGCCGGAGCTGATGAGTACGTGTGCCTGATCAAACTTCGAAGCCTATCTTGAACATTTGCAGCTACCTCCTGCGAGTTGCCAACAAAATGAAGGGCGCCACAACGCTCCCCATACAATGCAAAGTTCTTTGAGAATGACTGGCAAACCATCATCTCAATCCCCGCATCTACGAAAACGCGTACACTCGCGGCATCTTCGTCAAGCCCGTCACCCAGGCCTTGATACGCTATATCAAAGAACGGCAAGTGCCCGTAATGTTTCATCTCACAAGCTAACTCCTTCCATTGTTTTAGGCTTAGATCGACTCCTGTAGGATTATGGCAGCAACCTTGCAATACGAAAATGCTGCCTCGCGCAGCCGATCGTACAGTATCGAGGAGAGCGGTAAAGTTGACAGCATGTTTTGACGCTTCGAGATAGGAGTAAGTGGTGGTTTTCAGACCGGTATCTTGGAAAATCGGAATGTGGTTTCCCCATGTGGGAACTCCGATGTAGACTCTGGGTTTCGGTTCCATAACTTTTGAAATGAAGAGGGCTCCCAGAGAGTTGGCCCCTGTCCCGGAGATGGTCTGAACTGAAGAAATCTGGGTGTTGAAGTTAGTGTATTTAACCTGAGAAGTGATTTGAATCTATTCGGATATCATTTGATCTCAGAAGACTACGAAGCCAACCACATACTCTGCCAGTTTGAAGGGCATCGCTGTGCGCGCCAAACATGACTTCGGCGGCAAGTCGGAGAAAATCCGCATTTCCTATCGTCAACTCATACTAGACAAAGATCTCAGCCTACTAACTTTCCAAAACGTTGGGTTTTAGACTCCTACATCATGCCCTAGGTCCAGATCATCTAGTTCTAATTTGGCCTACGTTTTGATCAGTTCTGACTCCAATCGAAGCTTGCCCTGTCTTGTCTCTAGTACTGGGGCAGAAACTTTTGACGATACCTTTTTGACAACCTCCAGCTCTTGGTAACTACCCTCTTCGTTACTATAGATACCAACACCCAAGTCGACCTTTTCTGGGCTTGTGTCGTTGTCTGCATCCCTTTTGAGGGTGAACATGGGGTCCGGAGGACCGGGCTGTACGTGTCCAAACATCGTGGCAAAGCTGGAATGCCAAAGCTGGAATGAAGAAACGCTGAAGGCTTTTGCAAGTAAGCCTTCGAGCTTTCTCTTAATTTTTTGAATTGACCACTCAAATATTAGCGAGCAAATGGCGACTCAAATTCCCCGGCTAACTAGCATCCATCGCCGAGTTGGCGGCGGTGCGGGCTACCGAGTCTCCACTTGACACTTGCACGCTATCGGGAAGGCTGGCCGAATCGCTCAGATTGGCGGGAAGAGGAGCCGAACCATCAACAAGTAAGCTGACACTATCCTCGGCCCAAGGAAGCAATGAATACTAAATAATATCTTCATGATACCTCATGATGAAGTACTGCACGTTGACAATTCAGTAATATTTTCGTTCATCTAAAATGGCCTCTCTCCTTTCCAACAGCTTGACTCGCCTAAGCGCGTCGGGAAAGCTATGCACGGTATGCTTCAGAAGAGAGCCATAGTATTACTCCTCTTACTGACATAACGATATAGGCAATGGGCATTCGCCTTGTGTCAAATACACAAATTGTCCATTTGGCGGCAAACGGAGGGTTTGATGCTCTTTTCATTGACCTCGAACATTCGACATTATCCATTCATGATGCCAGTCAGCACTGTATCGTTGGTCTTCAGTTGGGTATGACGCCCTTTGTCAGAGTACCTTATCAGTGCGGCAATGGCTTTGTTCAAAAGGTTCTCGATGGAGGAGCCATGGGAGTTGTATTTCCTCATATTCACGGCCGCGGTAAGTACCACAAGAGATTCCTACCTGGATTTCCGCGTCCATTCGGTTGGCAAGAGGAACTTACAAAGTCATTGCAGTTGATGCCATGGCTGCTGTCTCGATCTGCAAATATCCGCCGCAAGGAAAGAGGTCCATCACTGGCCAACTGCCCGTATTCTCATTAAAGGCTGTGCCACAGAGCACCATAATCTCAGAGACGAACGCCAACGGCTCAACTGTATTCCTGATGATCGAGACGAAGGAGAGTATTGAGAACATCGACGAGATCGCTTCTGTTGAAGGCGCCGACGTTCTCCTCGTCGGGTCGAATGACCTCGCTATCGAGTTAGGCGCGCCGAGCCAATTCAAGAGTCCAGTTTTCCGGGAAGCTATGGAGATCGTAAGCCGGGCATGCAAAAAACACGGCAAGATCATGGGCTTGGCTGGTATCTACAACAACCATGAGCTGCATGACTGGGCGATTAATGAACTAGGCGTCCGCTTTCTCCTTGGAGGACAAGACTCTGCGATACTAGCCCGGGGAGCTGCAGAAACAATGGCGGAGATCGCGAAAGTGCAGAAGTAATCTCCAAATATTCAAATGATCAAGGCCTAACATCGTCAAAACCCAATTTCCAGTCATCTGAGACACATTGCAACTTTATCCTATGCACGAAATCCTCGGGTCTTTTGTTTGTGTTCATGATCTTGGATCTGGGCTATCCTGCTCACGTGCAGCGGTTATGTCTCAGGACTTGCGTGGTGAGCGCCACCATTACATCATCGCCGTTGAACGATTCTTGAACACAACCATTTCCCCGGACGCCTCGGAATAACCACATTCACTCTACCTCTTAGATATTGTTGCCTGATCACTAGTCGCATGGCTTGATTCAAGAGCCCACTTTACATATTCCCTGAGGAAAGGCTTCAGTTTCCGCCTTGGCACCACAGCATCCTTTATCATGGCCTCCATTCTCCTCGCCATCCCGCGCATTATTCTCGCGTTCGAATACTTCGTCGGCGGTATTCCTAGACTCGGCCCTTGGCCTTTCAAGACGCTTCACGAGAGAATCTACCGAAAGTCTCAGAAGACTGCGCCGTTCCTCCACCCACTCTACCCTTTCACTGATCAACGCAAGATCAAGCTTCATATGCAATACATCGGAGCGCTGATGGTCACGGAAGGCTTCCTACTCGCGCTGCCACAAACCCGAGGGGGGGCTTTCGCCCTCTTCCTCGGATGCTTTTTGACATCTTCTGGATACTGGAGCCAGATGCGAGCAGATATGCCGTATTGGCTTCCCGTCACAAACTTCGGTCTATCATGGCTGGTGTGGTACATCGAGAACAGATCATAGTCGGAGGGAGTAGGTCATGTTCTCGTGTATTGAGTCTCTCAGTATTCTCCTTCATAAGTTGAAGCAAAGCAAGTCAATTGTTAAACTCTGGTTGTGCTAGATACTCTCCAGTCTACGCCCTGGATCTTGATGTGGAACTCGTTGATCTTTCGCCATTAGAGCCGAAACTCCTTGTTGAATCTAATCGTTGGTTCCCTGCTCAAACGTGGCTTATCAATGGTCCCTGTCGGGCTAACAAATCCGATTTCCGAAAACTAGGTGGAAGACTCAGAGACGAGAGGCTTCCTTCCATAGATGGACCAGCTGAGAATAGTTAGTAACCGCGACCAGTAGGAACGGAGTTCAATAAGCTCACATGTTGAAATACGCATGGATAGTCCTATTCTTGAACTCTTTGCGGGCCTCAGCCATGAGAACAAGCACTTCTTCCCTACTCCACCCATGGACCCGAGTGCACGGAGCCATGCAGAAGCCCTCCCAGCCAGCGATGGCATTCTCATGATTCCAGATTCCCAACTCCTTGTACTTCGGATTCTTGGGCCAAGAGTTTGTCGGCCACTTATAGAGCTGTTTGTGTACGTCCTCGAACCCGGTCTCGATCAGGACATCTTTCATCCTGCTGATGTCCTCGAATGGTTGACCAATGATGGCTGCCGCATCGAAGAGTAGGGTGGCGGACTTCGTGATTGCCGAGTCGGGCTTCAGGGTGCCATCATCTGATGTTGGCACGGCATCGAATTCAATCAGCTCCAAGTACCCTCCGGGACTCAGATTGCTGCAGTCTAGCTTAGCCACCTCCTGACACTGAATCCGCTCCGCCTTCTTAAAACGGAAATCTTGCTACTTACTCGAAGCACGTCTGTATGTAGGCCTTCCAGTCTTTGATGGACGAATTCATCATCCGACTATGAATGTAGTCAAATGGTTTCGAGAATGTCCAAGGCTGATCGATATCGTCTATCTCAAACTTGACATTTGGTGGCACACTGGATGCTCGCGTTAGTTTTTAGCATCTCGCCTGGGCCCTGAATTTCACTATACACTCACAATTCAGGCTGGACAGCTGAAAGATCGACGCCGCAAACCTCAGCATCAGGGTGCTCTTCCCCAAAGTCGATAGCCCAGATACCGCTACCAGTTCCAACGTCGAGAACATTGCCAACCTTCGATCTTGGATCATTGGGTGGAGCAGTTGCGAGCTTGTTATCAAAAGTCAAGATGAAGAGGTTGTGCTGGAGATCTACCGCAGTGGCGCAAGGTCAACATCCTACCTAGGCTTCAAGTGAATACTGATGATCTTACCAAGCCGGTCATTCTCCCTCTCATCATTCGGGAAGAAGTATTCTGACGAAAACATAAGTCAGCTTCATTTAACAACTGCAACACATGCGTGAGTAACTTGAGGATTCCAACGTACTGCCGTCTTTATACGCGTGATACGTTCTCCCGTTCTCTATCCTGTATTCCAAGATAGAACTGCTGACACTCGTACTCGAGGATGCAACGCTCTGGTTCAAGTAGTCAACATCAAAGATGAGAATTTAGATGGTGAGTTGCTCACGCTGCCAAGGTTCGATTCAGCGTCGCTCTCGTCGTGGTCCTCAGCAATGAGCACAACTTCATGATCGGTCGTGTCGTTGGGTTGCGTTGCCTGAGCCGCCGCCGTTGACGGTTGAGCCACCGGGTTCGTGTTGTTATCTGCACACATTTTGCAAAGTTTGACGGCCACAAAAGTTCAGCCGAAGCCCGTCGAACACTACTCTAATGGAAGTTCAAGAGTTTTGAAAGACAAAGAGACAGTCTCGCCTGATTACCCCTCTTCTTGGCCTCGGACAGTGTTGTTGGTTCAACCAACACGAAACCTGCATACAGATCCTTGGTAGTCTGCCATTTTCGGTTGATGGTCCCGAAACAGGGGTACAGTCCACGTATCAGATCAAGGCGGTTCTATAAGTGGGATGCAACAATTCTGCAACACAGTGTGGCAGCGATGGCTGGCTGCTGGTTGGAGGTTTTCTGTTGAGAAGCGAAGCGATTCAGCCTAGCAAGCACGGTCGACTCTAGACACCAACCTCTCAGCTCAATGCCAGGATTCTCATGGACTCACTAGCACATTGATGAGTTTTAAAAAGTAAAACTTTGCACAAAATAGTGGCGAATAAAGTGACGGCGCTGCCCCATAACTGCCTGGCGGTGTCATCAAGTATGATAGACTGACAGCTCCGCATCTGGCAACCGAGATACAATGCAAATGAGATAAACAACGGGGACGAAAGGATACCGATGTAGAGGTGTGGATATCGAGCTCAGATCATTGAGCATAGATACCAGCAATTAGGCTGGCAGGTGTTTTGCTTCGATCTGGGATGCTTGGTAGTATTACTGAGGGGCCTAACTCCATGTTTGAGTGCAAATTTCGCGACTACCAATGGCAGGCAAATGATTACATCATGAGATGATTCCAAGATGCGGGATAAAGTTCCAAAGGCTATTTAGGTTCAGCCTCATTTCAATGAAAAGGATGGCTCGGGCCACATCGAGACCCGAGTCTTAACCAAGATGGAGAACGATATACTAAGCGTTATAGAGCAGCAAACTCTGTGCCGGGATGATGATGACCACGCCCCATCTAGGCCACGTGGTGAATGAATATTTGATCATTTTTGTACAAAATGTTTTGTTTGTATCGTATATGTACATGAATAGCACACACCGTTGGCTCATGTCAAGCATGACCACATCTCCCATCAACCACCACGAACGTCTCCTATGAGTCAGACGTTCTTTACGTGCAGTCGCTGGCGCCGGAGATGAATGTGCCGTCAGAGTTCTCGCAGCCGCAGACGCCCGTGTTGGGGTCCTTGATGCAGCCGGTGCCAACACCGTCCTCTTCACCGGTGCCGCTATACATCGTAAACCCGTCAGCCACCATTCCATTACTAGCAAAACAAAAAGAACATCACTGGTTCATCTTTTCGCAACTCACCTCCAGAAGAAAGTCCAGCAGTCGTCGTCGGTGATCATCTCGGTGGGGGACTCGCAGGTGTACGCGGAGCAGGTACCGTAGGGGTACCCGTTGTTGCCGTCGTACTGGTGGTCGGTCTCGAAGACGGCGAACGTCTGGGTCTTGCTGGTGCGGGTGTTGTGGGAGCACTCGGCGGCCTGGATGGCCTTTGAGACCTTTGTGGCGCTGCAGTTGTAGCTCGAGGGACACTTGCCCTTGGTGTTGGAGGTGGCCGGGTCGAGGGTCGCGGCCACGAGGGCGGGGGCGAGGAGGAAGAGGGCGGAGAGCTGCATCTTGAGGCGGTTAGAGGTCGGAAAATGGGTAAGAACGAGTGTGATGTGTTTCCGGTTGTGTTGTAAACGAGAGTTATCCGAGTCCAGCCCAAGGAGTTGCAAAGAATTGAAGCACGAATGAACGGTGGTGTGTGAGAATGGAGAGCAAGATCAAAACGAGACTTTCGGAGGAAAAAGGGAAAGTCGCGTCAAGTTCATATATAGATTGCTCAAAATCGACCCATCCCTGGGATTTGTTTCCCTTCATCTTGGTCTGGTGTTCTCTGTGGGTGGTAGCGTATGTCCAATGTAAATTGCTTCTGGGGCCCGCGTTTCGAACAAACGAACGCATTACGAGCGCCTGGAGGCCGGCCGGCCCCTGAGCGCGCGGCACCCGGTCCCGGCGGGGCGGGAAGCATCCCAGTCTCCCGCTCGGAATCGGGTTCTAGACCTTTTGGGTTTCTATTTCCATCAGACAGACCCGTTCACCTCTAATCAAGAGGCCATTTTGAGAATCGATGGTGCCTGACTGACGTCGAGAGCTTGTTCGATGCCAAGTCATCAACCTGGGAGAACAAGAAAGGCTTGGCTCTCCTGAGTGAGAGTTTCTGCTGACACCCCTTACCCATCGTCCCAAATCCCCACACAATCTGACATTTCCCGCGGTGGATCCCGCGGCACTGCCTTGGCCAGCTAATACTTCGTGTTCTGTTGTTTTTATGACATGACAGACCTCCACTCACCCACATCTCATGTCTCTCGGAACTCAACATGAGAGTTCATCGGACGGACCAGCACATCAAGTAAATAGGCAGAGCTGCAGCCCGCCGTTCACATTTGGATACAGGAGCTCACTCAGTCAATATCCCTACTTGAGGTAAGACGCTCGGAAGCAGCTGACGTTTCATCCGGACAGGTGAGCTCAACTCAGCCCAGAGCAGAGCCCAGGGGTCGAGGAAATTAAAGGCGATCAGTGGGGACCCCCGCGTCCTGCATTTCCAGCGCACGGCGAACGATGCCGTTCACTAACTCATTCACCGAACGGATGAACGCATCACTGTGGCTTAGACAAAATATCGTTCAAATGTATTAACTTATTTTTGATGACGACGCTCTCTAAAAACCCGCGAATTGCAGGCTCTTGCATGTTTGTGAGAAATTGTTGCTTAGGTCGAGTCGCGAAAAAAGAAGCAAATCTCGCCAAAACTGTGCCACTGTGGGCACGGCGGACGGCACAAGTGGGAGAAGTTTAGATGTTTCAAGCATAACAAAGCTCGAATGATTTTGAGCGACGGAACTCGCGTGAGTCGTGTTGTTGCTAGCCACTCTATGCGCGACATATTCAGGAGCTTGGTACGACAGATGAGATAGAAGTGAGGCTTGCGCGGCGCGTCAATCCTCGAGACGATCATCTTTTGATCTAATGAAAACTTCAAACTTGCTCATTCTTTGAACGCCCTGATCTATACTGAGTAGGTCTCGTCGGAACTGCTCTCCCTCGCACGAGGACCTTCTCTATGTGATTCGCGTCGATCCAGTCGCTGGCCCGAGCTTCAGCATACAGGATTCTCATGAAGGCTGATAATTGAGATCGATTATTGCTCGATTAACCTTTGAGGCTCGCCGGGATCAAGCAGATGTCTTGGCATCACTTGGAAGCAGTCTAAAGCACCAATGAGATGCGAGGTCGTCTTCGGGCATTTAAAAGACGCAAAGTGTGGGGT